CATAACATTTCCGTTCGACAACTCAAGAACTCAGCAAGCCTTCTACTGTTGTATTAATCGTCTTCTTTCTTCGACTCCTCATTTTACTTCTTCTACCTTTCTTTCAAATGTTGTTACCATATAAATTACAACCAGCCATATATAATGTTACTGCGTATAAACAGCACAAATTCACTCATTTTACAATAACCTACTTGCATTGAAAACTGCTTATAGAAACAGTCCAACAAATGCGATAGCTCTAAAATTACACACCTGACTGTCGGCAAATAGTTCTTCTTTTTCCTTCTTCATCGGCTTCTGTATAAATGTCAGTTTAATAAAAATATCTTAAGAACTAAGAAACCAATGACTGTCTTTTTTTTCACTTTCTTTTTTTTTCAGTCTGATTTCTAACTTATGATTTTTCTACAGTAGCCGTTTGAACACTTTATATGACTAAACTTACACTGACCAGAAGAAAAAATATATATATATATATTTTACGTTAAAATTTGGCAAAAAAAAAATGATTCAAAAAGACCAAATCCAAACGTAAATAAATGATGTAACAGGCAAAAAATGTGCTCATTGAACTGATTGCAAAACAATATAGTGATCACCTCTTAAAATTTTCCTGACATTGTTACTATTCTGTGTTGTTATGGCACATACACAACTACAAAACTAGCCTTGTGCCGTCAAAAAGCGATAAAACAGAAACAATTTGAACTACAAATTGACGTGTGAAAATGACTAGGAAGTACTGTGAGAACAGGTAACTATTGTTTCAACCTCATATCTGACATAAGAACCAAACCAATTAATTTCGCAAACTTTAGATAAGAAAAAAGCTTCCGTTAGTTCCCAACAATAATTGTGGTAGAATCCTGTGCGTCACAAATCAACACTAATAAAACTTCTTTTTCACTCTCCGTCAAAAACTTCTGACAAGTTTTCTTTCCAACAATTTTCCTCTACATAAATTTCAATTTTTTTTCTGTCGGTATTCTACAAAGCAAAACTACAGGGGTCAAGTTTTTGTTTTTTCCTTGTACAATAAAAATAATTCTCACAAGACATTTTATTAAAAAACAATAATGCGTCACAAATGACGTTAAGTAAATCTTTTTCTGTCGATGTGACTCTTTTTTTTATTTTTGTCATACAAAAAAAATCCAACTACTATAAATTCTGAAGAGGAGTGCCTGCAAAAAATATTACTGATTAAAGTCAAAGCAAAAACTAACCGAAAGCGTCGAACGTTGCATTGTTCTTTTTCTATAGCAAATAGCCAACTTCTTCCACCAAATAGTACACCTAAAAAATATACTGTTTATTTTTGTTTTAGTTGGAAACGTCTTCTTTTTTTGTGAAACTAACGAACAATGAATAATACTGTTCCTACTGAAATCGATAAATCCGGACAATTTAAGAACATGGAGGAACAAAATTTTTATCAAAACAATGTCGGCAAATTCCTTTCATCTTCACACTGTACAGAACAAAAATTTCAAAAAAGTCACTGTGGAAATTAACTTAAAAGGGTTTATTGTTTCACTTTTTTCTCTGAGAAACGAGATGCCAACGCAATATGTACTTGTACAATTCATTTCCATTGACAGAGTCCTAGAAATAGTATAGCACAAATCAGTTTTTTTTCGTCCA